CAAAGACCATGGCCTGTATCAGGTGCACCTTAGTCTCCAGAGAGACACCGTTGCTCTTGAGTACTTTAGAGAGGTCCCTAACCACAGACTTTCCCATCACAATACGTTTTTTTATTTCCTGGCTGCTGGCGCCACATATAGAAAATCCTAAAGATTCAGCAAAAAAGCTACTGGACATAGTTGAGCAATTCAGCAAAGTCGCAGGATACAAGATCAACATACAAAAATCAATTGGATTTCTCTACAGTGGCAAAGAGAATACAACTAGAGCTAGGAAAAATATTCATCATAATAGCTAATCAAAATTTTAAATACTTGGGAGTAAATCTAAGTGGAAACACAAAAGACCTATTCAAAGACAATTACAAAACATTACTACAAGAAACAAAAAGAGACCTGGAAAAAATGGAAGATTATACCTACCTTGCTCAGGGATAGGAAGATTCAATATTGTGAAAATGACAATACTACCAAAGACAATCTACACATTCAATGCAATCCCACAACAAACACTAATTCCATTCTTCAATGAGATGGAAAAGACAATCTCCAATTTCATTTAGAATGAAAAGTGACCCCCCCCCAAAAAAAAATCAAAGCACTCTTTAAAAAGAGAACCAAGGTAGGAGACATCTCACTCCCTGATTCCAAATTCTGCTACACTGCCATGCTGGTCAAGACAGCGAGGTACTGGTACAATGACAGACACATAGATCAATGGACTAGAATTGAGAAACAAGAAATCAGCCCATCTACCTATGATGAACTGATTTTTGACAAGGAGATGAAATCAGTTAAATGGGGAAATGACAGCCTTCTTAACAAAGTGTTGGCAAAACTAGAAAACTATCTTCAGAAAACTCAAACAAGACCCACACCTCACACCATATACAAAAACCAACTCAAAGTCAACCAAGGACCTACGACTATAACCAAGAACTATAAAATAGAAACCCTAGGAGCACTAATCCACAACTTTAACAGTCTTCCGAGCATTCTGAAAAATTTACAACCAGGAAAGGATAAACTAGATGAATGAGACCTTCTAAGAGTCAATTTTTTAATACACATTGAAAAACTTTTCCAACAGGGTAAAAAGGGAATCCAAAGACTGTGGAAAAAATATTTGGTAATGTGGCATCAGAATTGGAGGAAAATTCACCAACCTCTGTTATGCAGATGACACAACCCTGCTTGCTGAAACTGAGGAGGACCTGAAGTGCTTGCTGCAGCTGGTCATAGACTACAGCCTTCAATATGAATTGAAGCTCAATATCAATAAAACAAAGATGCTCACCACTGGGCTGATTGGTAGCATCATGATAGATGGTGAAGAGATTGAGATTGTTGACAGCTTCAGTTTGTTTGGCTCTACAATCATCACTCTTTATTGCAGCAGCCAGGAAATCAAGAGACAAACTGCATTGGGAAAATCAGCTGTCAGGGACCTCCAGAGTACTGAAGAACAATGACATCAGGCTGGAGACTAAGGTTTGCCTGATCCAGACCATAGTCTTTGCAATTGCATCAGAGAGCTGGACTAGGAATTATAGAAGAACAATTGATGTCTTT